ACACCACCCCCCGACAATCAGAAAGCTTTTAATAATGTGATTTTGGAGCTAAAACAATGGAACATTTGTGAGTTAAGTAAGATAAGCCTGTTGAATCATTCCCCATTCTGTCATAAACTTTCTAAATTGAAAGCTCTTCATTATGAGTAAAAGTAGAGTAAGTATAAGTTCTTTGGAAACCATAAGAACATATAATCACTACATTTTGGTTTAACTCTATAGAAATAACGGAGTTTTTAGTTATGACTAAGAGCAGTTTGTAGGACTACGTAGATGGCCGACTCTAAATACATATTCTAATCTTCAAGAAGCCGGGAAACTTCAAACGTGCCATATATATTATGGCCCTCCACTAACCTACCAGCTTTCACTCATACTCAGATCCCTCTGCTTCTATTCTACTGCTTAATGTTGAATTCGCTGCCCAGGGCTACTACAGTTGGATACAGGCCACTGGAAAAATAGATATTGGGCTAGGCCATACGATTATGAGGGAAGCTGCAGGACTTAATTTCATCTGGGTATCACTGTACCCCTAATTATGGTTACTAGTGCTAGACATAAACCTCTCCTGTCTGCTAAATCTTTCTTTGCAAAAGCTAACCTGGAAGATTATAAACTGGCTAATCCTGAGAGCCCTGTCTGGCCTCGTTTTCTCACCATGGGAGTGAAGTTGGACAGGTGACGATCTCTAAGTCCCCTTCCACCTCTAAGATTATGTAGTTTTAATCTTAAATGTCAAAAGCCTTAATTCCCAAGAATCTTAGGCTGCTTTCAGGAGGAGATACAGAATGTAAGTTACTGGAAAACCTGTATGCTAGTCCTCCCCTCCCCTTTCTTGTCCTGTAATAAAATAAGTTCTATATTAGATTTCTCTGAACTGAATCCACAGATACTCAGTAGCCAGGAATAGTTTTTCATTTCCAAGTAAAATCTACTACCAGGGACTCTTAGATTAGAATCTGAGAAAGGCCTAGGTAATTTCAATTATTTGAGGGTCTGTGTATATTAAAAAACATAATGCCAGACTTGTTTATGAAAGTTATGGTGTATTTTAAATGCTTATGTTTAATAAACAAATAATGTCATTTGGAAATAACTTCCAAAGTCTAAATTTGAGGCCCTCTCTTCTAAAAGGTCTTTCTTCTACTCTGTGCTTGACTATGTTAGTTTTGGGAAAGCTAGGTTCTCTGGGCCACACCTGAGTGTGAATTATTTTAATATCACCATCTCTTCAGTTCTGCTTAATTTTTTTTTTCTCACCTGTGTTCTAGCCCCTTGAACAATAAAGACTAATATCCCTTGGGACATGGCTGCTGATCAGTTCAGAGATGTGAACTTCTGCACAGGTTCAGTGAGCATTGGTGTACTAAGACTTGAGGGTGCTGGCTCAGCATATTGGTCCTATAAGCTATCTTTGTATTTCTACCTATTGGACACGTTTTCGGTTACCTTTGACCCCTTTTTTATGGATTCTACTTAATGACAAAAGTTTCCAAAAAGGAAATAAAAGAGTAGATGAATGTGTATTGCTTTCTCTTCTTTGAATTTTATATACCTTTGAACTTGGCATGATGAATATAAATCATGATGAAAAAATGCTCAAGAAATAAACTTAAGCACACATTTGCTTTCAGACTTACAGGACAGTAACATCAGAGCAAGTGAAGCACACTGAACATATAACAAATTTGAAAGAAAAAACCAAAGCAGAGTTACAGCCACTTCAAGGTAAAGTGAATTTATTATTATTATTATTATTTCCTTAAGGCTCTGACTTTCATCATCTTAGCTTAGCAATGAACACTATTTGCTTCTGACTTCTTACTAACTTAATCCAGGATGGCTCTGGGTACGAGTACTTTCGAAAAGGAAAAGTCCAACCCAGACCTAAAGAATATTGTTATATGTTTTGAATGAGTGCACTTAATAAATGAAGTAGTTTTGCATTTATACTGCTGACCAGCAGTTTTGACTTCTTTGTGTGGTAATATTATTTTTCCCCTACTCAGGCTCCATTCATGCAGGCATAATTTTAGTATCTGCCTCTCAGCAGCTTCCCTCATTATTATTATTTTTTTATTTTTAAAAATACTGCAACCCCAGTATGTGCCCTGACTGGGAATCAAACTGGCAACTTTTTGATGTGGGATGATACTCCAACCAACTGAGCCACACTGGCCAGGGCTCCCTCATTCTTTTTTTAAAGCATAAAACTAATTTTTGTTTCAGTTTTAACTAAGACCATTTGGTGTCTTTGCTCAAAGTACACTTGACATTAGTAGAATCAGTCATGTCTGTTGAGTCCTCCAGTTGATCTGATTAATAAAACGGCAAGGACAGGAACAGAAACTTTACATTTCACCCAAGTAAATATTTCTTGCCTTAAACTGCTTGCTTAAACCACACTTTCTTCCAATTCAACTATAATACTATTATTATCAATTACTGTGATCACTATTTGATGATAGAGATAATAGCTGCTCATGGACCAGTTTTAATCTTTTAGTCATGACAACAATATGACACAGAATGTCATTAGTAAGCATTATTAAATATAATCATAAGAAGGCTGATTGTTATAATAATAATGCAGTATTTCCATAGTGTTTTAGTGGTTTTAAACCCCTTTTTATACACAGTATTTTAATCAGTCCTCACAATAGTTCTGTGAGTTATCACTAATATCCCTATTTTACAGATGACAAAACTGAGGTTGAGAATAAATTGGTGATTCCTCAGAGTCAATGGCTAGTGAGTTGGCTACTTTTCCATGCTGTCTCATGATAGGTTGGCTGTTTATTTTCCCGTTCTTCGTATTTGAATAAATAATACACATAAAAATTTTTTTTTTACGTTCAACATGTTCAAAGAGCTTACAGAAAAGCAGATCCTCCATTTTCTCTCCCAGAGGCAACCAATAATACCAGTTTCTCTAAATACTCCTGAGGAGAGTCTTTGCAAATGTAACTATCTAGGTATATTACTTACCCTCCTTCTGTCCTAATACAAATAGTACCAAACTGCATCCATTGCTCTTTTCCTTGTTTTTTTTCACTTGACAGTCTACCTTGAAGACCATTGCATATCAGTGCACAGAGATCTGTCTAATATCTTTTTAATATGTTTTTATTGATTTCAGAGAGAGAGAGAGAGAGAGATGGAAACATCAGTGATGGGAGTCATTGATGGGCTGCCTCCTGCACGCCCCCTACTGGGCATGGAGCCCGCAACCCGGGCAGTGTCCCGACTGGGAATCCAGTGGGGATCTCCTGGATCCTAGGTCGATGCTAACTGCGGAGCCGCGCCGGCAGGGCCTGTCCCGTTTTTCTAAGTGACCGCACAGCTCCACTGCCTTCCCACGCTCTTTCCATTCATACTTTGCTTAATGGACTAAATCTTCCAGGTGAAAAGGAGAGCCTTGGGGGAGCGGAGAAAGCAAGTTCAGAAGCCCCTGAAGCCCGTTCAGCCGAAGCCCAGGAGGGGGACGCTGAAGAAACCTCCGCCGGGGCGGGTGCG